CACACACACACACACACACACACACACACACACACACACACACACACGCAGTGGTCAAATGCAGTACTTTTGGAAACAGGCCTAAAGAAATTCTCTTGTTTATCATTCACAAATGAAATGTTCATCAGTCTTTTCTATTTACATTTCAAGGTCACTGGGGAGAAGTTATATGACTGGGGATTACAAGGGTACATAATTGCAGAAGATTTGTGGAAGCAACATTTTCAGAAGGTGAGAGACATTTTATTATTTTCCTTTTGGTTTAAATATGTGATTCTTCTAAAGTTTTGTAAAATACTTAAACGACCTTATTCCTTTAACTTCTTTTATTGGCTTTTAGTCTCCTACTCAGATTTTTAAGTGTTCGTTTCAGGAGAGTAGTAGAATGTCTGAGTATTTGGTTATTGTTAATAGCTCAAAAATAGTGACTAAAAATGCATTCCAGTGTAGCTTCAACTGTAATTTCTATTCTGTTCTATATATAGTTTCTTCAGAGTGTAGCATATTGTATAAAGGTTGTACCATAAATGGATTCAAGGCCCCTGAGATGGCTCAGTGGGTAGAGGTGCTACCTGCCAGATGACCTGAGTTTGGTCCTGGGACCCCCACATGGTGGAAGGAGAAAACTCATGCCCACAAGTCCACTCACTCACTCACTCACACACACACTCCCTCCCTCACTCACACTCGTAAATAAATGTGATTAAAAACACTTGGGGCTGGAGAGATGGCTCAGTGGTTAAGAGCACTGGCTGTTCTTCTAGAGGCCCTGGGTTAGATTTCTAGCACCCGCACGGTGGGTTTACTACTGTCTGTCACACCATTCCTGGGGAATCTACCTCTTCTGGCCTCCAAAGGCACCAGGCACATACATGGTGCAGATGCATATGTGCAAGCAAAACATCTACACATATAAAGTAATTAAGTAATGTAAAAAGGCTTTGGGTTTGCCGGACGGTGGTGGCACTGTTAGTCCCAGCACTCTGGAGCAGAGGCAGGCAAATATCTGTGAATTTGAGGTCAACTCTACAAAGCGAGTTCCCGGACAGCCAGGGCTGTTACACAGAGAAACCTTGTCTTGGAAAAAAACAAAAAACAAAAAAACAAAAACCTTGGATTCTAGTGGAATATATTATGCTCTCAAGAAAAAAAAATGCAGAATTGAGACATATACCTTCCCTGGTTTTACACTTAATCATAAGCTCTGTTCTTGTCTTTAGTATTATTTGTTCATGTCCCATCTGAGGCTCCAGTGTGTTGGGGAATAGTCTGAGGCTACACATTCTTTGTGCCATCTGTTGGATGAGTAGCAGAGAGAGGAAGTTGTGCCATCATAAGGATGTGCCACTTTCCAAGTCTCCTAGTGGCCTGTAGAAATGGTCTCTTATTGTGATAAAGAAGACTTAGTACACAACAAGGTGTAGTACCTCTTGTGTGTGCAGAGACCTAGCTAAAGGCAAACCGGGCTTCTTGTGTTAACAGACTTTCTGAACGTAGATCAAAGAAAGCTCATTTTGGCTCCAATTATTTCAAAAGAAAATACTCTAATAGAATATATAAATAGAAGGTAATAGGGACAAATATGATCAAAGTAAATTAAATACATGCATGAAAATGTCATAGTGAAGCCCATTATTTTGTACCGTTAATATACACTCAACAAAATGTCTTTCAGTAAATTCACTAGGGTGTGGCTTAGCAAAAAAATGAAAAGAAAACTATGCGCTTAGCATGCACACGGCCCCAGCACCACAGACATATTTACATATATATGTGCAGATATCAGGATTTAGGGGCAGCATTGCAGAGTAAGTTATAAGCCCTCCTCATTATTTACATAAATATCCTTTCAGTGCATTCTTAAGACTGAGTTTATTTATTTTATGTGTATGAATGTTTTGCTTGCATGTATGTCTATATCTCACGTGCGTACCTAATGCCTATGAGGTCAGAAGAGGGTGTTGGATTCCTGGTACTTCAGTTAGAAATGCTTGAGTCACCGTGTGGGTGCTGTGAATCGAATATAGGTTCACTGCAAGAACAAGCACTCTAATCACTGAGAAATCTCTCCAGCCTCAAGACTTATTTGTGTACTGGTGGTTTAGAAGGAGTTAGTCCCTTTTGAGCCCATTTAAACTAGCTCTTTTATTAAGGGCTGGGGATATAGTTTGTTGGTAGAGGGCTTACCTAGCATGTGGAAGACGCCAGGCTCAGTCAGCAGTACCACTCAGTACAACAGCAGAAAGTCTCACTGCCTGGGGTCCGGCCTCCAGCAGTGTACAAAGACTTTCTATCTGAGGGGGTTAGGGAAAAATACTCTCTCACACTCTTTTAATAGTTTCCTTCTTTAATCTTTATTCTTCGGTTTACTTTTTTCCCTACAGCTTATATACCCCAACAAAATCTTTTAGGCAATATAAAAATTGCAATGTGGTTACATTCTGTTTTTCAAGTGAATGATTATAATGAGTACAAGTAAAAGCATGTTTTTCCCTTTCCTTACATGATTAAAAGCAAAGCCACCCTGGTAACCCACATACGTTTACATCTAAGTAACTTGTTATGGATTAACCTAACATGAGCAAGCAGAGAACAGTTTTTTTTTCAGCCAACTCTTTTGTTGGCAGACTGCATATTACAGTTACAAAGAAAGAATCTGTCATTTTATTGAAGGGTATTCTTATAATCTTAAAGGGATCACAAATCTAAACCTTTATGCATAAAAAACAGTCAGCCATCTGTACTTTAAATCGTTAGGACACATACTCAATAGTTTCTTATATCAGGAGAGTGAGGGCAGGAATAGTTATAAGGAATTAATCATCACCCTTGATCACCAACCAAACCCAGCAAGAAAAGTGTGTCAGCTAGCAACAATTGGGCTGCTTTGTATTTTTGACCCTATCCTAATGAATCCATAACTCTGTTATGTATCCTAGTGAACTTTAGATTGTTTTATGGGGTTTTTCATCTTTTTTTTGTTTTGTTTTTTGAGACAGGCTTTCTCTATAGCTTTTGGAGCCTGTCCTGTCCTCTTGTAGACCAGGCTGGCCTTGAACTCACAGAGATCCGCCTGCCTCTGCCTCCCAAGTGCTGGGATTAAATGCGTGCACCACGGCCCAGCCCAGCGGGTTTTTATCTTTAAGCTATTAGCAAAGCATCTGATCTAACCTGAAGTTATTTTAAAGCTTTGTTTCAGCTAATGATGCACCCCAGGGCTCCTCCCGATGGCTGTCTCTTCACAAGAGAGAATACTATTGATGTTGACTATGTTCAATGTTTACTGCAAGTTTCCAGTGAAAAGTAGTAGGAAGTCATGCTAGCTCAAGGTTTGATAGGCGTAGACGTCAGACTGTATTTGTTAATGAAGTACCCTTTTCTCTGATGACGTATTGTGACCCCCTACAGCACCTTGTTGGATTTCATGGTTTTCAGAGGTCTTTAAATTTTTTTTAAACCACAAGTACATTTTAATTCACTACTTCATCAAATGCTAATTCAAAGCCAGTAGAAGGACATCATGGTTCAAGGCTCTTTGCGGTTGGAAAGCAGGAAAAAATGGTTTAGCCTTTAGTCGATTACCTCCTTTTATGGGGACTGCCTTTCTTTTCTTTCTTTTCTTTTTTGTTAAAACTTAAAAAAAATATCTATTCTTATTTTATGTGCATTGGTGTTTTGCCTGCACATATGTCTTTGTGAAGGTACTGGATCCCCTGGAACTGGAGTTACAGACAGTTGTGAGCTCTTATGTGGGTGCTGGGAATTGAGCCCAGGTCTTCTGGAAGAGCACCCAGTTCTTTCAACCACTGAGCCATCTCTCCAGCCCCCTTATTTTTATTTCCATGTGTTTATTTTTTATTGTGCATATTAATCATGTGGTGAAAAGTTAAGCTCCATTTATTTGTTTTTTAATTGACAGCAAAGAGTTAAGCTATATTGGAACAGGAATCTTCGGGGGCCTTGAAACTGAATATATTCTCTTCACTGAATATCAAAACAATTACATATCTATCAACTCACAATATAGTTAAGGGGATGAAGCATACAGCTGAAAATCCAAACAAACAGAAATGCTAGAAGAAAGGCACAGACAGGGCTTTTTGAAGAGACCCTGGGGTAGGGTGGGCACTTCATAAAGAGACTTGTTTGGAAGTTAGCTTTCCTTTTTTTCCTTTGTTTTTTTTGAGGTAGGGTTTCTTTGTGTAGCCCTGCCTAGAACTTACTCTGTACACCAGGCTGGCCTCAAACTCAAAGGTCGGTCTGCTTCTGTCTTCCAGGTGCTGGGATTAAAGGTGTGTGGCACCACTGCCCTCAAGTCAAGTGTATTACCAGTCTCAATTAGTGTCTTCTAATTTGGATTTTTTTGTACTGTAGTGATGTATTACATATTTTTGGTTGTGTCCTGTCAAAGAAATTAATGGCCATTATGGTTAAAGCAGGAACCTAAAGTCTTAAATGCAGGCTGGGAGAAAACTTAGTAATTGCTTGCCTTGCAAGCATGAGGACCTGAGTCTAAACCCTAGAGCTCACATAAGAAGAGTTAATGCATGCTGGCACGCCCTTGTAACCCCAACCCCGTGGAGGCAGAGGGAGGCGGATCCCAAGGTCTCTCTAGACAACCGCCCTAGCTTAAAAGGAGAGCTCCAGGCCAGTGAAGCCCCTTTTTCAAAACGAGCAAGTGGTACCTGATGGCATCTAACATTGTACTCTGGCCTACACACACACACACACACACACAATGACATCTAATGTTGTGCTCTGGTCTACACACACACACACACACACACACACACACACACACACACGATGACATCTAATGTTGTGCTCTGGCCTACACCTACACACACACACACACACACACACACACACACGATGACCTCTAATGTTGTGCTCTGGCCTACACCTACACACACACACACACACACACGATGACATCTAATGTTGTGCTCTGGCCTACACACACACACACACACACACACACACGCATGCATGCACACATATACACACACATGCACGCACATACACATGCAGGTGCTCTGTGCATGTGTGTTTGCACACATAGACATATACAAATTAAAATGGTGTGAATGATGTCCAAGATTTTTTTGTTTGTTATTTTGAGGCCGTCTACCCATGTAGGAGAGTCTGACACCTCAAACACTGTTCTCCTGCCTTAGTTGCTTAAGTAGCTTTGATTCCAGGTGTGTGCTGCCATCAGTGGCTCAGTTCTT